AGCTTTCACAAATAGAGCTTTTATACTTTTAAAGTTTAATTTTATGGTTCTTTCATAAGAAATTTTCTTTTGGACCATCTTTAGGGTTTTCTCTAATATATATAGGAGCAATGCATATTTATACATTTCTAGATAGGACATTCCAATTATTTTAACAAGAAACCGACATGCTTCATTAAATGGTCAGAGCTGATCACTGTTAATCATATGATGATGCTCAACAATCTTGGGATCATCATATTCATCTTGTCGAGATGATCATTTCAAGTGTAAGCATGGAAGATTAGAGGGACGTTGACCCTTCTAAGCACTTGAGAAGTTCTCAACTTATGGATGCTTGATTTAGATCCACTGGGATTTGAATTAATATGCTCTTGGTCTCATTATTTTACTATGACTATCAATTTGTCGAAAAACAAAATCCGAATGGGATATTCCAAATGTTCATAATTTGAACACTTATTTTGAGATTTGAAAATTATATCAACAATTATACTTTTTTTGTTAGGATTTCAATAGCCATATTTGATGAGTAGAACTTTCAACAGATGAAAGTGTTTCTTATTTTTTTATCTTGCTATGTTATGATAATTAATGCATATTTAACCAGTTTTTATTTAATTAATAATGAGTCTACATCTATTAGATTTGTTAATTTACTAATATTGAGTGAACTCAAAATCTTTCATAGCTAATACGCGTTTATTAATGTCGCTAAAACTTAAAATCGAAACTTTTTTTTAATAAATTAAGCAACATAAAAATATCACAAATCTAATAAAGGCGACTACAATATTGTCCACATTAATAGTTCCCAAAAACATTCATGAATTTAGATTTAGTTTTTTTTTTTTTTTTTAATTAACTTTAGGTTTGTTTGAGACAGTTTTATGACCACTTTTCTTTTCAAATAAAAACCGTAATACTTCTTGTTATTTTTTAAAAAAATTTATGTTAAAATTTTGTTTTCTATAACTATACTACCAAAATTATTTACTCTATAATAACTTCACAATTACAAACATCCATTTCATTTTTGGGCAGATGAGTTTTTTAAATAATTAGAAACATAAATTAGTTGACGTTATTCATACATTATATGTAGCACCATGATTCTTGATGAGGAAGTAAGCATTCAATAATACATGCTTGCGTGTAAAGTGTTCACTTGCCTTCTTTTCTTGGAGAAGTTTCTCATTCGTTTCTATTCGTTATACCAAAGGAGTGAAAGGACAAAGCCACAGGCAGTAAAGAGGACATTAGTTGGTTTTTGAAAAGATAGACTTGACAAAGGGCAGTGCCGTTTAAAATTGCTTCCTGCTCTTTTGGCTGTTATCTTTGGAAATGGGTAAGGAGTTTTTTTTTTGAACTGGATATTCACTCGCAGCTATTCACGAAAGTGCGTTTGATAGCGTGACTAATTCTTTGCTAACATAAAAGAGGCACCCACTCCAAAAATGTCCTGACCCGCACTTGATTGGACTCCACTTAAGAGGTGTTGTCACTCGAGGGAAATCAAACACGAGTTGGGGGGTTCCCAACCATACTCGCCCACCAACCAAGCTAAGCATTGGTGGGTTCCAACTTCCAAGAGGTATTTGCATCTATCATATTATGGTTGCTGCGAAGAGAATGATATAAACCTGACAGCCTTCATCTTATGCAGATTTATGAGATTTGGCTGAAGAGATGAGCAACAGAGATTTATGGGATTTGGCCAAAGAAGCAGGAGGAATGGAGAAAGATAGTTACCTTCACTAACGAGAAAAATATTTATGTGACCAAATCATCTAAGACCACTCTCTCTAATGTTACCGACCACTAGTACTACTCCAACATTTTCACGTATATACTTGATACGTCATCACGAAATTATCTTGATCGGGCACGAATCTCAATAAAAATCAAGTTGGAAACTTTAAAAATTAATTCGGAGACCATCCGAACATCGATTTCATCAAACTTACAGTCGAACTGAGCATCTCAGAAATACAAACCCAACGACACCAAATTCGACTCAATCCGAGCCCAAATGGTTCCAAATCAAGGACCCGAAACGCTGTTGGAAGGTTCAAACCACAAATTGGATTACCAAACGGTTTTCAAACATAACAAACTTATACTTGAATCGAGAGGCTCGACGAGACAAATCCAACGAGCCCAAGATCGCCAAATTCCGACATCATTAAGGTCTTCAAATGTCTAAAGAACTGTGCATGATCAAAGGATTCAACATCGGCCGTTCATCCAACAACTCCCCATTTACCCTTGATCTCTCACCTATTTTACGGGCCATGCCACTCCAGAAATCTATAAATAGAGCTCCCTCTCCTCTTGAAGGAGGATCCCCAAGCTTAAGGAAAAAAGAGAGAGATCGAAGATCGCTCTTACTTCCTTACCTCCTCGACCACCGCAGGAGCCTCGCCGGACCACCACCGGATCACCGCCAGAGCTTCGCCGCACCACCACCTAACGTCGTTGCTCCGCCGGACCACCACATGAGGCCCTCACCTCCACCGGACCACCGCCTGACGTCGTTACTCCGCGGACCACCACTTGAGGCCCTCACCTCCGCCGGACCACCACCTGAGGCCCTCACCTCCGTCAGACCACCGCCTGACGCCGTTGCTCCGCCGGACCACCATTTGAGGCCCTCACCTCCACCGGACCACTACCTGACGTCGTTGCTCCGCCGGACTACCACCTGAGGCCCTCACCTCCGCCGGACCACCGCATGACGCCATTGCTCCGCCGAACCACCACCTGAGGCCCTCACCTCCGCCGGACCACTGCCTAACGTTGTTGCTCCGCCGGATCACCACTTATGGCCCTCACCTTCGTCGGACCACCGCCTGGCACCGTTGCTCCACCGGACTACCACTTAAAGCCCTATGTTCCACGAGGCCATCACGTGAATCCCCGACTTCCACTGGACTACCACCTGACGCCCAGACTTCTTCCGGGCCACCACTTGATGACAAGAGTTCTCCTGAAGTACCGCTCTCCTACAACTGCCTTTCAGACCCCGATCTCATGCCAACAAAGGTCTTTCATACCATGGTCTCTTGCCAACAATGGTCTTTCAGACCTTGGTCTCCTGCCGATTAAGGTCCTTCAGACCTTCGTCACCTACTACAGTCCATCTGACCTCCATCAGCAGACAACGGTCTTTCTGACCCAAGTCTGCTGCCGATTACGGTCCTTCCGACCTCCATCACCAGACAATGGTCTTTCAGACCCCAGTCTCCTGTAGACTACGGTCCTCCCGACCTCCGTCGCATACTACGGTCCGTCCGACCTCCATCACCAGACAACGGTCTTTTAGACCCCAGTCTCATGCCGACTACGGTCTTTCAGACCTTCGTCTTCTACTATGGTCATTCCGACCTCCATCACCAGACAACGGTCTTTCAGACCCCAGTCTCTTGCAGACTACGATCCTCCTGACCTCCGTCGCCTACTACGGTCCGTCCGACCTCCATCACGAGACAACGATCTTTTAGACCACAGTCTCCTGCCGATTACGGTCCTTCAGACCTTCGTCGCCTACTATGGTCACTCTGACCTCCATCACAGACAAAGGTCTTTCAGACCCCAGTCTCCTGCCGATTACGATCCATCAGACCTTTGTCGCCTACTACGGTCCCTCTGACATCCATCAACAGACAACAGTCTTTTTGACCAAAGTCTGCTGCCGATTACGGTCCTTCCGACCTCCGTCGCCTATTACGGTCGTTCTGACCACCATCAACAGACAACGGTCTTTCAGACCCCAGTCTCCTGCAGACTACGGTCCTCCCGACCTTCGTCGCCTACTATGGTCCTTCCGACATGCATCACCAGACAACAGTCTTTTAGACCCCGGTCTCCTGCAAAACAACGGTCTTTTAGACCCCGGTCTCCTGCTAACAACGGTCTTTTAGACCCTGGTCTCCTGCCGACTACGGTCCTCCTGACCTCCATCGCCTATTACAGTCACTCCAACCTCCATCACAAGACAACGGTCTTTCTGACCCCAGTCTCCTACCGACTATGGTCCTCCTGACCTCCGTCGCCTACTATGGTGATCACTACGACCTCCATCACCATACAACGGTCTTTCAGACGCCGATCTCCTGCCGACTACGGTCATTCTGACCTCCGTCGCCTACTATGGTTCTTCTGACCTCCACCAACAGACAACAGTCTTTCTGACCCTGGTCTCCTCTTGACTACGGTCTTTCTGACCTCTATCTCGTGCCGACAATGGCCCTTCCAACCAAACAAACATGTCTATGTTGATTATTGTAACTCCCACCATGTAATGCGCTCTATATGACGTACATTTGTAACATCATGCCAAGGTCTTCTCCCTAGGAAGGGACTCATTTGTAATCGACTGCAAATACTGGTGGATTCATTCAAAATGGGCCAGGCCCCATGGTTTTTCCCCCTTTTCAAGGGTTTCCACGTAAAAACTCTGGTGTCTCTTATAAATGTTACACCCTCTCTCACTTATCTGATTGTGTGCTGGATCTTCGTACAATTCTAAGACGTTAAACTTTATAATTCTCTACCGCCGCGAATACTCCAGGACGCAACAATACTCATTTAGCATTATGTCTCTTTATATAAAACCACTCATCCACATCAATATCCTCATCTCTATAATACTTATTTTTATGCTTCTCTTTTAATGGCTAATATCATATGTCATAAAATGCTACAGACCTCACTGCCATTTTATAAAACTTTGCTCTAATTTTGAGGAAAAATTAATTCCGAATCATATTCTGATTAATTTTTTACAAGAATATCAAAATATACCAACTAAATTAACCTTTGTACACCCCCAGTAATCAAGATTTTCGACGGCCAGCTTTTGGAGGTGATGCGTGTCGCTCTTTAAAAGGATTGGTGTTTTCCATTCGCACTTATCACTAGCTACAAGCTAACCCCTCCTCTCTCTCTCTCTCTCTCTCTCTCTCTCTCTCTACATTGGGGATAACTGGCTCCGAAGAATGGCAGAGAAGGTGAACATTTCCCTCTCCACTGTTATTCAGATCCTTCTTCAAATTTGTTAGTCTATCATGAAAAAGATCTCACTTTTTTATTATCTTCCTGTTTGCCTCATAAATTCGACCCGATTTCTTAGAATTTAACATAGAATTGCTTTAATCCGCATAATAGTTTTTATTAACTGTAATGACTTTCTTCTTAACACACAATGGTTTGAATTTCCATCCCTTGGATCGATTAAGCTATCAAACTCCTCCATATATTTTCTTCTCCTTCTCCGAGAAAAAAAACTCTCTATCTCTCGCGCGCGCATGGACGCAATTTCTCTTATTATTGTGAGAAAAATTCTTTACACATTGTATCTTGTTGTAGCAGATCTCAACTTTAATTCTCAAAGTAGATCTTGAATGCACAATCTGCTCCAAGAAAATTAGGACGGTACTCTGCAAACTCCAAGGTAAGCAGCTCCTACTTCCTATCAACAACAATCATTTTCTAATTATCTCTAAAAGAAACCCTATCATCAGCTATATATATTTTTTTCATAAATTGACGAATTATTAATTGATTTCTTTGAGACCGAGAAAACATTCAATCTGTGGTGTACAATGAAAAAGAGGGCATCGTGCTTGTCTCCGGCCCTTTCGATCCCAAGAAGCTTTCCAAGAAACTCTGTTGCAAAGCCTGCAAAGTCATCAAGGATATTCAGATCAAACCTCCTCCACCTCCTCCGCCTCCACCCGATAAACCACCCGATAAACCACCCGATAAACCGCCTCCACCCGATAAACCACCCGATAAACCGCCTCCACAACCTCCACCAGATAAAACCCCTACAGGTCCATACCCGTACCCGTACCCATACCCGTACCCGTACCCCTACCCTTATCCTACTGTTTGGCCTTTTCCAGTATGCGGATGCCATGGCTGGTGCACATGCAAGCCTGCTGCAGAGCCTCCGCCGGCGCCGCCGGTGGTGCCAACTTATGCCGCGCCATGCTATGATGGTTGCAGAACTTGCAAATTCATCTGCGAGGAAGAGCCATCGTCCTGCTCGATCATGTGATCTCTCCTTAAGGGCGAATTATTACGTCTGATCACCGAAAGTCCTGACATTCAATTCAGATGCGTTCACATCATTCAAATATATTAGAATCCGGTGCATTTTGATAACGTGACGCATCTGAATTGATGTCCGGACGTAATAATTTGCCTTCCTTCAGATTTTAATTTGTGTTATTTTTCAATGGACTACGATAATAAATGGGAAAGTAACGTAGAACAAAGTAGGAAGATTACCATTAATAAAACAAGAAGAATAAAGAGGAAAGAGGCAAAGCAGAGCATCCTTGGGGAAAATTTGAGCCAGAATATTTCTATTTAAATTTAATTAAATAAAGTTTAAACTCATTAAATTTGTTTTGAAATGAGTATATACTCATCCAAAAATAAATTTAATAATTTGAAGATTTATTTTAATTAAATTTAATAAGTATAGATATTCTGATTGAGGGGAAAATGACATACCAGCTACCGACGGTTGTGTTGGGATGGAGACTGCAGAGCTACCGGAGAATGAGTGGTGATGGCATTTAATGCCACCGACTTTTGTTTGTTCTCTATGTAAAGAGTAAAGCTTAAGCTTCTGCTTAGCTTTTCTTTTAATATGATGATAGTAAATTGTTTTTCTTTTCTATTATCTTTTGCGTTCTGTTCTGTTGTGGTCTTCGGCATTCTATCAAATATCAATAACGTATCAGTGATATTTACCAGAAGGTATATTTTGACATGTATTATTTCTTGAGAATGCTTTTTCCATTTATGACTAAAGTGGCTTTTAAAATTTTGTTGCCGATTAAACTTTGTTTGAGATGGCTTTTTAATTGTTTCAAGAAGTAGTAAAAAAATCGTCTCAAAAGAAGTTTTCTTACATTTTTTTTTTTAAGATTTACTTCATTACAAATGATGTCTATTAACTTTGTTGTGAGCTATAATATTCATGGTAATAGAGAGTGCTTCACATCTTAATATTTTTACAAAGATTAAGCACATATATTTAAAAGAAAGTTGTAACAGATTAAAGGTTTTACAAGAATAACTCAGAAAAAGAAAAAAAATGTAGGGCTTTACATAGTTGAAATGATTTCACTATGAATATGTTGTCTATTACAAGTGATGTTCATCCCTATAATTGTGGAAGATGTTGATTCAATATAGTAGACATGAACAATAAAAGATAAATTTCATGGTGGAAGTTGCAAGAGCTTTGAGATATGAGTTTTTTTTTACATTGTTTGTTGTATGTTCTATGTTTTTTCAGAGACTAGAGAGAGGTATGGTATGATTTTTTGTTGACATTGAGAATCAAAGATGATGTCAATAACATACATCGACCTTAATAGTGATGATATGTGTTGGTGACATGCATCAACCTTACAAGCTATGAAAATGTTTGTGGAGGAATGTAGCCAAAAAATGGTAGTTAAGAGCTCGTATTTAAACAATGATAATTAGATGATAATGGTTGAGAGGACATTGAGCGATGGTGCTCAAGAGATGCTAGGTGGGAGGCCAAATGTATAAAGATCAATCAATACCCTACACATCATTTCAGTGTTGTATAAATTTTGGCTGAGTTATAATTATGGTAGAGCTCAACTACCTTATTTTTTTATTTTGTTTGGGTGTATTACAGAATCGAGTTATATTTATGGCCATCAACTATTATTTATTGATGAATGATAGGTGTGTTTACTATTATTATGCATTAGAAATGTATGCTTTTTTCTAGATTTCTTATTTTGTTTTGCTTGGGATGACTCTAATGGAGTCCCCATTAGGCTCTTATGATGTTAAATTTTTTACAAAGTTAAAATTTTCCTTAAGCAAGATAAAATAAATATAGGGCTTAAAATCAACTAATTTTCTAAAATTAAATGGATGATACTTCTTAGGTCACTATTTAAAATTTAATTAATATTTCAAGTTCAGGTCACTTCATAATAACTAATAGCTAGCTATGATTAGCCGTACCCATGCATGCATTGCCTGAGTTAAATCATATATATTATCTCTTATTACATAGAGGGATAGTTCACTTTTGTATAACATAGTACCATTCATGGTCAAGCTTGAAGCCCAATTCACTTATGTGCTCCCACCTAGGGCTGCAAACGAATCGAGCCGAGCCGAGTATGTGAGTGTTCATGTTCGTGTTCATTTAATATCAGCTTGTTCAAGTTTGGTTCATGCTTGTTCGAGCTTTATTGTTTGTGTTCATGTTTGGTTCATTTAAATTAATGAGTGTTCATGTTCGGTTCATGTTCAGTTCATGTTCGTTCGTTTAATGTTTATTGAGTTTGTTCGCGAACATATTTAACAAATTTTTTCTAACTATCAAACAAACAATAAATGTAAAATGTCTCTTGTTCATGAACAAATTAATTATGTTATAAAAAATTTAAAATATTTATATTGGGTATATTTATTAAATTTATAATTAAATATTAATCGAATTTTTATCGAGTTTATTCACGAGCTCTGAATCGAACATGAATCGAGCTTAATGTCGAGCTTCAAATGATGTTGTTCGTGAACATAAATGAACCAAACACATTAGTGTTCAAGCTTGTTTATTTAAGGATCTAGTATTTAAAAATGTTGTTCAAGTTTGTTTGTTTAGTTAGTTAAACGATCACAAACGAGTTTTAATTGAAAAAATATTGTTCAAGTTTGTTTGTTTAGTTAATTAAACGATCACAAACGAGCTTTAATCGAACCGAACAACTAGTAGCTCATCGAACGTTTGGTTCATTTGCAGCCCTACTCCCACCACTCTTGCATTTGCATATGATAAGACTTCACGGATTTGAGATGTTATGTGGAGTTTAGCCAGTACCCCTTTTCGAGCAGGATGGTAAATCTAGGTCAGGGCCGCTTAGATTCATAGTGGGATTTAAGTTATAAGTCCCCTCACGGTGTCTTCTATTAGCTAGGTCGTGGGTATTAGTATCGAGTGTACTGTACTTCCTTTATAAAACTATGGTCAAAGACTAGTGGTATAAGTATATCATTTTATGCCTTACTATTGGGTATGCTCTCCATTCTTTGGAGGCTATAAATCCTACATATCCACATCACATTGATGACGTCGCTTCCATCTTTTTCTCATGCATGCATGGTATGAGATGAATACTCTTCTAATTTATTCAATTTTGATCGATCTAGTGATTATATAATCATTATATGTTGAATAACCTAATTGAGTCTATCTTCATTTATATTAGGAGAGCTTAGATATTCCATTACATACTAAAACTATTGTTGCGGGCTAGAATATACGCGGCGGTAGAGTTTGGAAATTTGCGTCCGAGCGTTGTACGAATATTCAGCACACACAAACAGAAAAGAGATAGAAACACCAGGAGTTTTTACGTGGAAAACCCAGAATAGGGAAAAAACCACGGGGCCTCGCCCAGATGTAAAGTTCCACTAGAGTTTCTGCAAATTACAAAGGTTGATCCGTCTTTACAAGTCAAGACGATCAACTTACAATCCACTTTTTACAAAGTTATGGAACTCTTGTAATAAGGTTGGTGAAGTTCTGCGAATTCTCGAAGTTTCCCAAAGATCCGGCAGAGTTCCGGCGTGTTTAGGCAGCGACAAGAGCGAAGACGGCGGTGGTCGAGGAGGAGATGGCTCTCCCTTTCCCCTTTTCCTTCTTCTTCTCTCTCTTCACCTCCCCCCTTTTGTGTAGAATGAGGGTTCTATTTATAGTTTTTCTGGAGTGACATAGCTCGTAAATAGGTGTGAGATCGTGGGCGAATAGGGAGTGGTTTGAATGGACGACCGATGTTGAACCATTCGATCGTGCACCGTTTGTTGGACATTTAGATGACTTAATGATGTCAGAATTTGGTGATCTTGGGCTCGTTGGATTCGTCTCGTCGAGCCGCTCGGTTCGAGTATAAGTTAGTTAAAATCGGAGATCGTTTAGTAACTCAAATTGCTGTTTGAACATTTCAACAGCGCTTTGGGTCCTTGATCCGGACTCACTTGCGCTTGGATTGGGTTGAACTTGCTGTCGTTGGGTTCGTAATTAATCAAGGGGACTTGCACCCATGAGAAACCAAAACCAACATTAAATAAATTGCTATAACCCATATTTTAACTATACCAAAATGTTTTTTTGGAGTCAATATAAGTTCAAATTACAAAATGTCTTCACTATAGAATTAATATTATAGTATTTGATTTACACATTTTTTTTAATTATTTTTGGGCATTGGTAAAAATTCTTAAAAAATTAACACTTGACGGTACAAATGAAGATTTTGGGACCATCAGATGTCCATTTTACAAACCAATTTTATTAATTTATATTTTTGTTAAAAAAATGAGGATAATTTTATATTGCTAAAATTTTCATAACTTTTTATATGTTATAGAGATTGAGATAATGAATGTTTTAAGTATTTGTTTAAGATTTTTTGCCAGGTGATTTAAAAAAATAGCAATTTTTTCCTACTCTGATTTTTTTGTTGAAAATTAAAAATAGTTCTTTAGAATATTATTATATATAATCCCTTATAATTTGATTAATTTCTAAATTATGAATTTTTACTCAGTAGTATTTTCTATTGTTGATCATTAGAATATTTTGGCACTTTTTGAATTAAGCATAATTAAGCTTTATTTACTGCAATGTATTGAAAATAAATATTGATATGTGATTGAGTAACAACTAACAATTATTATTGTTATAGTATAATGATAATAATATGTGTGTGAAAGATAAGTAAAGATTGATTGACATGTTAGTTGGAGATTGATTGACTTGTATAAAATGATGACCCGACGGGTTTTTTTTAATACTATAGTTTGGTGTTATCCTCTACTAATTCTCGTGATACTGATTGAGAGTTCAAAGGAGTTATTACTATGCCGATGAGTAAAGAGTGACGACTCTATTTACTGAGTTAATAGTTATCGACTACTAACTACTAAAAAATATCATGATGACTAGAATTATTTGAATACATGTTATTGAATCACTATTCCTTTTATTGTACATATTTATTATTTCTGCACAGACTTACTATTATTGTATTATTTTATTACTCATACTACGGATATAGATACCAATAATATATGATATTATTGATTCATTATATTGATACAAAGTAGTGTCATAATGAGCATATAAGATATTAATTTAATATTGATATATAATATTTGGATATTTTGTGTACACTTCTTTATTTATATGATTTCGATAGTTTTTATCGATGCTTCGGTTTCACCGCTTTATTTTATACAAAATTTTTACTGATTGATAATATTGATACGACGACTGCTTTAGTGATTTGATACCCATACTGATTTACTAGCTTTTGTATCGTACTATTTTACAGTTTACATATTCTATTGTTAATGTATGTGAGTTTTACTATTTTTGCACATATTTGTGATCATAAATTATTACTGTTATGATTAGACTGCTCACATGCATATTGCTCCTTTATCTTATGTTGAGTTCAGTTGTAAGTTTGGTGAATTGGTGGGTTTCTTAGCTCATTACACGTGCTTAAATAATGTCATATCACGGTAAGGGAGTAGGAGTATGAGATTAATCAAGATTCCTTCAAATTCAAGTTCTTCTTATTTTAGCTATTTTTTTGTACTTATGACAGAATAATTGTGATATGATTGTATAAATCTTAAGTATTGCATATGATTTTTTTGGAAATGAACACAAATGTACATATAGATGTTTTGAATTCTAGAATTGTTTTTGTTATTTCTTTATGATAAATAAAGTTAAATGGCTATGATATTCTTTGTTAAAGGATAACATAACAATTCTTCCAAATTAGATGAATATTATTAACCATCAAAATATGTAGGTGAAAATTAATATATATATATAAAACTTTATCTGTTCTTCCATTGACTTACTAGAGTGTAAACGTTTATGATCATTTTGTCTTACGGAATAGTACGATCATACATTTTGCATTTTAACCCCTACGTTCAGTATCCTTTTGAAGACCCATAGACACTTTTAATTATCCAATTCATATAATACTTGTATAACCTAATTATATATGTGAATCATTATGCCGATAAATCATGCATCTTTTAATAGTCAAATTACATACATCGTGTTTTATGTTTAGTGCTTTAATAAAAAATAATTATCTATTGAATGTGCATATCAAACTCATTTGTCATAAATTTTCTTATAATAGATTATATTAGGTTTCTTAATGCTTTATTACTGTAAGAGCAAATCTCCCACCATTAATTACATTCTTAATTCAATATTTATGTTTTAAATATGGTTCTTGGTTTAGACTCTTATTATCTTTTTAGCTAGTTATTATCAATGTTTTAAAAATGGGACTCGATTGATCAGTTCAACCGGCCGGCTTTAAATATAATCTGCCTCGCTTAAAACTGAAAATATCTCATGGAACTGGCAATCGAACCACTCAACAGGCGAACCGGCAAAATCGGATTTTGTCTATTTATGTATTTCATTCGAATGGATTGTGATCAGAACTGCAAGGATCTCATCTCAAACAACTTTGCCGAAGAAATATCAGCGTCTGATGCCGAGTGCGATGAGAATGAGAATATGGAGGAGTATGATTCTGCATTCGAGTGCGATGAGAATAATCGCGTCCCGTGTGGGGATGCTGAGGCTAATTACAAGCTTTTCAATAGCTGCAGCCTGCAAGTGTGTAAATCATCCCATTCCAGCCACTTTCAATCACAGAGCAGCAAATACATGCACTACAGGTGTTTGTGAAAATGCCTCAAGGGTTGAAGATGATGTTTTGAAGTAAAATTCTCAAGAGTAGCTGCCTTCCCCAGCCTTTGGAGGTTCTTTTTGCAGCCCATTTACTTGGAAGAAGCCATAGTTTACCAAATTTGACAGGTTTTTCTTAGGTATGATAGTAGTCGAGTAAATAGAAAGTTTTAGATACTAAATAAATAACTATTTTTATAATTATTATATTAATTATGTTAATTTAAATAAAATTAATATTTATTATATCATCCTGTTCAACCTTATATTAAATTTAAATAAAATTAATTTTTATTACGTCATTCGGTTCAACCTCGATTAAACTACGGTCAAACCATTGAATCGTGAACTTCTCCTTCTTTTCGGTTGGTTGCCTTGTCCGATTTTCACAACCTTAGTTATTATTTTGCATTAGCTCCTTTCATTTTCTTTTCATTAATTGATATTTCATTTTCATTGTTGTGTTATTATTAAAGACTATTAATATAATTAAAGATTCTGCTTGATATAACTCTTTTTATTATTTTTCTTTTCAAGCTGCAATCATATTTCTGTTTTGTTATTGCTTTCTAGATGTTTTTAAGAATTTATGTGCTAGAAATTAACTTTTATAGCAACTTAAAAAAAAAAAATTCTCACAGTAACTTTACATTCATCTTTATAAAAAGTTGTAGCCATCCTAAATATGCCTTAAATCTGTTAAAAGTTAGATTTATTTTGCAAAATCATCATTTATTTAATCTGAGACATCCAAACTAGATTGGATAGTGGAGATGAAAATATGCACATATATAGTTGATTTTGTCTTATTTTTGTGAACTCCGACTAATATCCTTAGAACATTTAAAATCATCAAATCAATTATAATTTTGCAAAAATAATCATGAAAACTTGTGTTTTACAAATGTTGCGTCTTGGAACATTCGTGGCGGTAGAGAGATATAGAATTTATAGTCCAAATTTTGTATGAATATCCACAACACAGATAAATAGTAGAAAGGGGTACAAGAGTCATAAAAGACATCACATTTTTACGTGGAAAATCCTGAAAATAGAAAAACTTTCGGGGCCTGCTCCAGTTAAAATGACTTAAGTAGTGTTTATTGTTAATTACAAATGAGGTCCTTTCTTGGAGGAAAGACATTGAGATGATGTAGCATATAAAGCACATTTCATGGTGGAAGTTGGAAGAATCTATTGATATGAGAGTTTTACTCAATAGAGTGTTTGCTTGTTTGTTGGTCAGTTGGACTGTAGTGGGGTGGTCGGAGGGACCGTAGTCATTGGGAGACGAAGGTCAGAGGGATCGTAGTCTACTAGTGATGATGGTCGGTGGGATCGTAGTTGGTGGGCGACTGTGGTCGGAGGGATCATAGTCGACGGGCGACGATGGTCAGAGGGATCGTAGTCGACGGACGAATGTGGTCGGAGTGGATCATAGTTAGTGGGCTAGGGTTTAAAGGGACCATAGTCGGCGGGCGATGATGGTCTGAGGGATAGTAGTCGGCTTGCAACGGTGGTTAGAGTGGATAGTAGTTGATAAGCGACTGTGGTCGGAGGGACTGTAGTCGGCGGGCGACGAAGGTCAGAGGAACTGTAGTCGGTGGGCGACAAGAGGTTGGATGGAGCGTAGTTAGCGGGCGATTGTGGCCAGAGTTGTGTGTTGATGGCAGCCGAGTGGAGATTCGATGGCAATTAGTGGTTGGGAGGGGGTTCGACAGTGATCGACGGATAGGTGGTCATTCGACGATGGTTGGGTGGAGGTTCTGCAGAGATCGGCGGATGGGTGGGGGTCTGACGATGGTCGGGCGAAAGTCTTGTGAAGATCTGCAGTCGGGCGGTAGTTTAACGATAGGTTGGTGGTCGGGCGATGGTTCAATGATGGTCGAGCGGTGGTCGGCAGCCGGGTAGTGAGCAGCTGCGAGGCAGTGGTTCGATGATGGTTGGGTAGAAGTCCGATGAAGATCGACGATCAAGAGGTTATCAATGGCCAAGCGGTGGTTCGATTGGCCGACAGAAGATTGTTTGCCATGGTGCTTGGGTGGAGCTCTTTGATCATGGAAGCCTTATAGCTCTTTGCAATCTATAGCCGAAGGGTCTCTGTCTCTCTTTCCTGCAAGAAGAGGGGTTTTATTTATAAATTTTTGGGAGTGACATATCTCATAAATATGGAGACGATCTAGGACAAATTCGGAGTGCTCCATCAGAAGACCTATATTGATCCCCTTGATCATCAAACATTTAAATATCATAATGATGTTAGAATGAAGCGTTCTTGGGCTCGTTGAATTCATCTCGTCGTGCCGCTCGATTTGCCTATAAGCATGCTATATTTGCATATTATTTGATCATCCAATTTATGCTTTGAACCTTCCAAATGTGTTTTGATCCTTTGATTTGGATCCATTTGAGCTCAAATTTGATTGATTTTGATGTCGTTGGGTTCCTTTCTTCAAGACGTTCATTTTGACTATAAGTTTGCTGGTGTTTGGATGATCACAAATTAAATTTTGGAAGTTCACAATTTGAATATGCCTTGAAATTCGTGTTCCAAGCATCAACAAATATATTTAAAAAAAATTATTATTTTATAAGTGTTTAATCTTGCTAAAAACCCACGGGTTTACTAATCGGTATGACTCAGAAAAAATCAATATTAACCGAGATCGCCGGTAAGCACACGGTAGGTGATCGCAGATAAGCAAAGGGAAGGAGCGAAGGAAGCGTGGACGGCAACGACGACGACCACAACTTCCTCTCCATTTCTAATCTGTCTGTTAGTTCTTGGTATTACTTGAACTCCTAAGGAACGAAATGGTGGGGCTTCACAGAAGTCGCATAATTAGACATAACCGGTTTTTTTGCCTGCCGTCGCTTATTACCCTTGATTTCTTCGTCCAACCGCAACATTTGGCTATCAGCTCTGCGTTTGTCGCGAGGTTTTTCACTTTCCTTCCGCTGCTTGGTTTTAGATGAAAAAAGCTGCGATTTTGGTATATTTTGTGTTCTTCTTTCCGCGTTGCCTTCTTTGTCTTTCGTATTTTTGAATTTGGGCGTACCACAAGAGGGAGTTTTGGAGTTGGGCGTCAATAAAGTTTATGGCTTTTTACAAGAGATCTCATGCTGGATATCGGAGGTTGCTTCCGCTATTTCTGGTAATATTCTCGGTGGCTCTGGTTTTAATGTTGCTGATTCGAAAATGGTCAATTTCTGATTTTTCCTACATAGCTGTAGAAGAAGAAAGTTATTCTTTTGTTTCGTCTTCTATGGAGACTGATAATCGTATACTCTTGAACTTTGGAGACTTTAAACCAAAACTTCCTCAAATGAACGACTTTGCCATCTCTCTGGATCGGAGAAACTTTTTACCACCGAGGAATATTGATCTATTTCCAAATTTAGCGGAGAACCATATAAAGATTGTTCTGTATGTTCACAACCGGCCGCAGTATCTTCAGGTTGTGCTTAAGAGTTTGGCTAATGTGAAGGGGATAGGAGAAACCATGCTGATAGTTAGCCATGATGGATACTTCAATGAGATGGATAGTATTGTTCAGGCAGTCCGGTTCTGCCAGGTGAAACAGATCTTTTCTCCATATTCACCGCACCTCTATTCTGATAGCTTCCCAGGTGTTTCGAAGGGAGATTGCCAACACAAGGATGATCCTTCTAAGAAGAATTGCAGTGGAGATGCAGATCAATATGGCAACCATCGATCTCCGAGAATCGTTTCTTTGAAGCATCACTGGTGGTGGATGATGAATACTGTGTGGGATGGCTTGCCAGAGACAAGGTTGCACTCGGGACATATACTCTTCATTGAAGAAGATCATTTCATTTATCCAAATGCTTATCGAAATATCCAGCTTCTGGTGAAGCTGAAGCCGGAGAAATGTCCTGATTGCTTTGCTGTGAACTTGGCTCCATCTGACGTGAAGTCAAAGGGAGAAGGGTGGGAGAGCTTGATAGCAGAGAAAATGGGAAATATTGGCTATACATTTAATAGGACTGTTTGGAGGAAGATCCATGCAAAGGCGAGGGAGTTCTGCTGGTTTGATGATTATAATTGGGATATCACTATGTGGTCAACAGTTTACCCCTCGTTTGGGACTCCTGTGTACACTTTGAGAGGACCTCGGGCAAGTGCTGTTCATTTTGGGAAATGTGGGTTGCATCAGGGGCAGGATAAGATTAGTGCATGTATTGATAATGGAGAGGCAAAGTTTGAATTGGAGAACGTTGATAAGGTTCCTAATATCAACATTGACTGGCCAGTCTATGTATTCAAGAATCAAGAGGGATACCGTGCAGGTTTCAAAGGATGGGGAGGATGGGGTGATCATAGAGATCAGGAGCTTTGCTTGAGTTTTGCTTACATGTATCACTCTTCTGATGCTTTACCCAACGGAAGAGATGCTTCCAAACATTCATAAGATTTTTTGTCTCTGCAGGATTATATGAATCTGGTCCAAAGCTTGAAAGGTAAAACGTTTTGAGAAAATTCTTGTTACTTAAAAGAAGTTCTATCATTTTCGCCATCTTTTAGGTGTGTAAATTCAATTTGCTCGTTCATATACAGAACACAATGGCAACAGAGATTATTAAATAAGCATAACTTTGGTCTTTTTGAGTTAATGTGTACCACGTTATCTCCTAATCACCTTGGATCTTTCAAGGTAAAATATAGTAACCCTTTGATAGTAGTGATAAGAAGATGAGATTCAATTGACAAAGAAAGCATTCTTAGCCTATGAAAATAATATTTTTGAACTCTTTTTTTTTTTTTCATGGTGCAACTATTCAGTCCGAACCTAATGAACCAAGCTTGAATTTAGACGTGCTTTTCTTCTCTATCGACCATGGAGATGCATATGCAAAAGTTGATAAATTAAAATACTAGATTGTTGCTTGTTTCAAGTTATATCTTCTTTTAAATTGAGAAGTTTAAAAGAATGGCATACCAATAAATGAAGCTCTAGTTAGTGTCTAATAAGAGGATGTAATTCATACCAATAAATGAAAGCTCTAGTTAGTGTCTAAGAAGATGATGTAATTCATCCCCATCAATTATTGTTGCTAAAGAGCAACCAGATGACTTAGCATTCATGATCTTCTATATATGAGGAATAGTGATGATAATTCTCAAATTTTTAATTATTTTTGTGCAAAAACACGAATGAAAAGTTTACATCTTTTTAATTTGGAGCTAGTGGAGATTCTTCCATGCAATCATTGTCATCTTTTTGATCCTATGAAATTTTCTATTTCTTGATATGCATAAATTAAACATTTTGCAATATCCATAGCCCTTGGTTGCTTTTTGTAGTGGAATAACCAAAACATTCTTTCTCCTGGGTTGGTTAACAGTTGAATGATTTTTTTTAGGGGAGGGGGGGATTTACATACATACCATTTTATTTATGTTATTTATATATCTAACACTTAAAATTTTAATATTTCATACCTACCACTCATATATAACTTTAATATCAAATACATCACTTCTATATTTCATTCCTGCCACCCATACCACTCTATAAACTTTAATATTTCATTCTTTGCACCCATTTTTGTTTTATGGGTAGTAGGCATGGGATATTAAAGTTTTGGGTGTTAGATATACAAATAGCATGAAATAAAGTTGTATATATGAAAATCCTTTCCTTTTTTTTTTCAATTTATCTTTATGTGCAGACTGCAGTGTTTTTATTGCTTGGATTAGGAAAACTTTTCTAATTCTATACCCTTTTTGTCATGGTACATTTGAAAATATTTGTCGGGATCAAATTAAGGAAATATTATTAGGTGAGAGTCTACAATTTTTATTGTATTCTTCTGATCATCATTTTGTTTTTTTGCTCTATGTTGGTATTAATGCAATACTAATGTGAGGCAATACATTGAAATAATTTAATGTAAAATACAAATAATACTATTCACATCACTCACCTAATAGTCTACACAAACTATTGGTTGACTCCTATATCCTTTTTTTAAATTTTGTTGTATTGAAGTTGAGCAAAGTTTAGTGCAAGTCTTACGCGCACCAAGTTCTTGAGTATGTGCTCATTATAGTTGAACAAAGTTTAGAAGAGGTGATTCCTATGCTGGCTTTCAAAACCTTTCTGGTAGTTTATGCTATTTTCTTTTATAATTGAGCAATATTCAAAAATAGAGTTCCTCATACTATATTAATTTTTGTTACAATATTGGTTGTGTGCATTTTTAATGCGTGACACTCAATTATATGTAACCTTTTATTTGAAAGTTTGATGGAAAATATGGAAGAATCTCATGTGGAGAGACTGTTCGGATGCACCTGGGACTATGCTGAATAATCCTATATCAGTCAAATTTACAAGGAATTGTGATAATATAGTAGTGTTTATCTTTTTTCTTATGATTTTTTAAAATTGAATAACTTTTTACAATTTATTCCGCCAATTCGAGCCTATTACGTTGCCCCTTGAACAATTGATGTATTTGACTTTATTTAATTGATTTTTTATCACCTTCACCATGAAATTAATTAATTTTTTTATGTTTATTTGATTTCCTCCCCATCACCTGCAATTTGATGCATTCATCAAGTTGTTTCTTGGCTTTAGACTTGATAATTTGCATTATTTGAGTTATGTGATTATTTTTTTTTATCTTAATTTTCGTCATAATAAAGCTACCATTGTCTATCCTAAGTCCAAATTAGATAGATCAAGGGTTGATGTTAGGCTAACGTCTAATCCAAAAATTTAATACAAAATCTAGTGAAATTAATTCAAATTTGAACTGTTATAGTTCTAGGATATTCCCCAAAGTATCACATTATAACCCGTCATGATTATTGTGGGAAGTAGGCAATGGTTTGCTCAGATGTTACCCATAAATGACACATCATAATCTAATGGTAGTGAAAGTTAGGCAAAGGGTTGTTTGGTTTCCTGAAAAAAGAATGCGGTGTAAAAAGAATACTTTAGAGTTGCTTGAATGAGTGAAAAAGGAATGCAAGACTTTAATTTTTTTGTTTGGTTTGAAGTAAAGTAAATGCTACATAAATTATGAAAAGGTTGTTACTGGGGTGACCGGCGGCTAGATGTGGGTGGTAGCGACAGGGGCGGCTTCGACGGATGGCGGAGGTCGGGAGCGGGTGGAGGCAACGGCCGTTGGGATGGTGATGTGAATCTAAATGCGGATGCAAGAATTGCAAATTAAGAGATTAATAAAGGTTATGAACTTTGCATACTACCCATAAAAACTAGTTTACTCAAGTAGTGGTTTTAGAGAATAGCATGAAAGATAACGCAATAGCAATAGATCACAATTGAGATTCACAAGAACTTGCAAAATTAATAACAAAAAAATTAGCTGGAGAGCATTCAAGGATTGTTTATTAGAACGTTTCCAAACTGACGGGGAGGAGACTTCTATGAATAGTTTTTAGCACTGGTGCAGGATGGATTAGTGGCAGACTATTGGGAGCGATTTGAGCACCTGACCAGTCAGGTGGAGCTATTATCAGAGTTTGCTTTGGAGGGGAACTTCATGAAGGGGCTTAAGGCATAAATCAGAGCGGTGGTGAAAGTCATGATGCCTTCTGACTTGGGAGAGGCCATGAAATTGGCCCAACTGGTGGAAAATTAAAATAACCTAGAGAGGGGAGACGGGAGTAGCAGCTTAGGAGGCACTTAGAGGATGACGACTACTCATTTAGCGCCCAAGGGTCCAGCATCAGGAGGATTTCACCACCTGGGAGAAGCCAATAGGAGGGAGTGGGGAAAATTTCAAGAGGCTGACAGAGAAGGAGGTACAGGAGAAGAGGACAAAGGGATTATATTTTCGGTGTGATGAGAAATATACTCCAGGGCACAGGTGTAGAGATCGAACTCTTCAGGTTCTCACCGTCTGTGATGATGAGAAAACTGAGGAGGGAGGTGAGAGAGAAATGGATGACAAGTTGCATCTGGATGTGGCGGAGGTCTCCCTGAATTCAGTAGTAGGATTCACTTCGAATTATATGAAGGTGAAGGGGGAAATAGCAGGCATGGAGGTGGTAATATTGATTGACAGTGGGGCTACCCATAATTTAATTTCCACTCAGCTCGTCAAGCAACTGGGAGTAAAAATAGTGGACACCGATTATTATGGTGTGATGATGGGTACATGCAAGGTGGAGAAAGGTCAGTGTATCTATAGAGAAGTGGTGTTGACCATCCAGAGGATTCAGGTAAGGGAGGATTTTCTCCCATTAGAGTTAAGAAGTACTGATGTCATCTTGGGATGAAGTGGTTGCAAACCTTGTGGGAAACCAAAGACAATTGGGGAGCATTCACGATGGAATTAATGGTGGATGGGAGAAAGGTGGTTATAAAGGGAGATGCAGGGCTATCCAAAGCCATGATATCACTTAAGACCATGATTATGAACATAAAAGAGACAATAGAAGATTATCTGGTGGGACTACACTGGAGGTGATCAGATTTGAGGAGGGAGGGGATGTTTCTCTTTTAGTGCAGCCCTTGATTCAACAATTCGGTAAGATTTTTTAGCCACCTTAGGGATGACCACCTCCACACGAACATGAGCATATTTCCACCTTGAGGACAAGATGGATCTTTGGTAGGGGAGTGTTGTTAGAGCAGTCCATTGGTCCATTGGACCGGTCGAATCGATCCATATGGGACCGGATCACGGAGACAAGAATGTAGGGTCTGTTTAGAGATTGAATTGTATGCATTAAATAGTTTGTTTTCCTAGGGTTAGGGCATCTTGAATTTGGCTAAAATTTGAGATCACTTAGATCTAGGTTTTGGGCTCTAGTGACGTCTAGCGATTTGGGAGAGATCGATTCTCCTCTCGAATAGAGGATCAATTGTATCTTGCTATTTTTCTTCTTCCTCTAGTGAATTTCAAGTGATTTTCTCATATTTTCCTACAGTTTTCGCAAAAACATGCACTGTAGCTACTGTTTTTTTTTTTTTTTTTTTTTGAAATCTAGCAGATTTTTGGATTTATAGTGGTTGTTTCCTATCATAGGCTCTCTTAATTCCCTCCTAAATTCAGCACCCCTTGGATCATAATCAACCATTATCATTTCAAATTCAGCCATTCTCCTTTAAAATTCAGCATCCTTTCGGTCATAATCAGTCATTTTTCTTTCAATTTCACTCACTACTCTCAAATTTTGCACCCCTTCGTTCATGCCGGGCTTTCTCATGCATCTCCCATTACCCTCTACTCGACTCCTTAGGAATAGACTCTAGGGGACACATTCTCTCTTCTCCCTCCAAAATCTCAACCTCCTGATCTTCCTTTTGCCTTATCAGATTAAGGTTTTTCTCAATTCCTTGGCTCTTGGCGGCTTCCCTCGCCTCCGACGACATCATCTTGGGTTTGTCTCGAGCAACTTGTTCAACATCTCTTTCAAGGTGAAAAATTTTCCATCAATCTTCTTATGGACGGTTAAAATTTGACTCTTGAAATCTAAAAATTGAGTTCGGAGATCTGAAATTTCATATTTCAATTGTCCGATCTCCCCTTACAACACTTCTACCTTTCTTCCTGCCATAATACTCGAATCAATGCTCCAAATTGCAAAAACAGTAATTTTGGTCTTCAAACAATAGAAATCAACAATTTAGAGGAAAAAACCAATCAGAAATTGGCAAGGAAAAGCCTCAATTTCAGCCCAGGACATTGTTTTGGTATCATTTTGATAGGAAGTGGATGTAATTTCAGCAAAACCAGAGAACAACATAGAAAATTTAGGAAGAAGAATACATAAGAACTATTTTTTTTGCAAGATATATGAAAGAAAATATAAAAATATAGTTGGATCTTCAATTGGAGAGAAAGATCTGGCTCTCCCAAATCCCTAGCCAGCGGCTAGAGTCATCACGACCTAAGAAATTCTAATTTCAGCAAACTCAAAACATAATCCTTAAATCGCCCTATTGCTAGCCTTAAATAGGCTATCCTAATTTTCTCTCAAATTAGCACCCTTTCCCTAAATAATTACCTCTTATATTTGAATTCAAATTAGATTACTTGCCCTAAATAATTTCCTCCAAATTATTATTAGAACTTTTCCAAATTAGATCACTTCCCCTTTGATTAAGAACCTTCCTAAATAGCTCCCTCTTGATTAGGAAATTCCCTAATTCACTCCCAATTAAATCAACTGATCCATCAATATATCATCCAAGAATTTCAGTACCTTTCCTTCTTTTTAAAATTTTAAATCTAAAATAAGGAAATAATATAATTTTAAAGAGAAGCATTCTCATAGCCCATCTACTCTTCATTTTCTCTCTCCTTAACTGTGCTGCATAGTATATGAATAAGATATATAGTGTAGCATAATAAAATATATTTTTATAGGTCCCTTATGCAGTAATAGTTCAATTGAATAATCACTCGTATTATTTACCTTCGCATACATCTAATTCATATACAAACACAAAAGTCATAAAAAAATATTATATTTCTTTTATTTTTTTTTCATTTGTTTGTCTTTTTCTTATTAACAAATTTTAACTTTATATAAACATAATATCAAACCTACAATCTTAAAATTGATATGAAAATTTATAAATGAGAGTTTCAAGGAAGAAATCATTCTAGAAAAATATGATGAACAAAATAATAAGATATATTACAAATTTTTCTAAAAAAATTAGGCGGAGTTAGCTCTTAAAAATATGTATAAAAATAAAGCTTTAGATTCATATAAGATACTCATTGAGATTTAAAAAGTTACGAAGAATACTTTAATGATTTGGTTAATAAAGCTTTTCAATCGAGCTTTAAAAATTTAGGTGATTGAAGAAGAAATATTTTGATACCAATAGTTATGAACAAAGGAGGTGTTTAAGCTTATTGTAATTATAAAGGAATAACTTTTGACTAATACAAAGATGTTCTAGGTGAGTGAGGAAGCCAATATTTGGGAAACTTATGTCAAGTTTAGATTGAATTTGATTTCATATGAGAAAGATCTACATGGAAAGTGGAAACAATTTTTGTATTAAGGGAACTAATGCAAATATATAAAGAGCAAAGAAGGATCTTCATATGATTTTATTGATTTTGAGAAGGCATATGATTGAGTACCACAATAATTAATTTGTTTCTTAATAAGAAAAAAAATTATGAATGTCAAAGGTATCTTGAAGTTATATTATAAACATGTATGATAAAGTATTGATTATCCTTCAAATTTGTTATGGAGTTACCTAAGAGATTCTGATCACAATAGGATTACATCAAGGACCTACATTTAAGCATATATGTTTTTATATTCACAATGGAAATACTTATGATGGATATTTGAAGTGAGATTTTTTGCATATATATATATTACAAATGACATAATTCTAATTGGTGATATGCATGTTGTTGAAATATGCACAAAATCATAACAAAGAAGAAAATGTTTAGAAGATGTATACCTTATAATTAGTTGAACAAAGCTTGATTATATGATTTAAAATTTTAGTAGGTGTAGTATTGATACTCATTAATCAAAATTATTTGAAGATAAAATAATATTAATGTTATGGTTAAGTATTTTGAATATATTATATAAAAGAATTAGTTTATCACAACTTTGAATCTGAATGTTGGAACGTAAAAAAAAGTTTATAGCTAAGTTGAAGAAAACATAAATAATCATATTACGGTGAATGGATGATAAGATTAAAAAAATGATTGTTTTAGAAGAACAGTTTGGTGATATTTATTGAAGGTAAGATTGTTTAAAACAGAATTAGGTTGTTTCAACACCTATAAGACATGGTAGATAGCACATCCATTATATGGGTGAATAAAATTATTGACAGATTTGTGAGAAGTGGTAAACTTAAGGATATATAGATAACATTTGCCCAATTTGTAATGAATAAGTTTAACATCTCATATAACACTTAATTAGAACGAATGAAAAATGCAATTTCATTAAACTAATCTTGAATAATCGCTGTAAGTTTAGCGATGATGACATTTTTCTTCATAACATATATTTCCATTTTTCTAGTAGATTGAGGCTTCGTTTGAGATTGTTTTCTTACTGTTTTTTAAAGCAGCTTTAAGAAGCAGTAAGAAAGCTGTTCCAAACGAGACCTTAATCATATATATAGTTCTATGGCTGGCGTTAGCATCAATTCTCATACCTATTAAATCCGGTGTCTTTTCCATTCTCCATCATCCTCCTTTGCATCACATTCCCATTCACAAAGCTGAAAGCTTTATTGTGGCCCACTCGAATTCATTATAGTACAAAGAAGCATGAATTCACAAAACAAAGGCCCTTAATGACATTCTCATAGGCAAACAAGATGGTGACTAATATACAGCATTTAATCATGTCTGTTCATCCACAAAAAGCATTTAATAGTGGTGACTTTTCCTGCCCATATCAAATGTTCTAATTCTTTTTCAAAATTATATGCGCACTTCGACCATTTACAGTTTGAACCTCTCAAATTAAGCAAAATGCTCTTACTGTTCATCATATTCATAGAACTGCAATAATCTTTGACTATATTTAGCATGGTGATCTGTTGTGAGTACATTTACCTTTTATCACCTCCATCCCAACATATTCTGTTTCAGCAACCATTATGAATTTGATGACTGTAGAGCTCATTATCAACAATGGTGCAGTTCTTTTTCTTAAGATTTTTCTTTCTGTGATCGTTAAAGTGTTTCTCACTAAAAGCTAACAGAACCTGCTGTTGAACTGTTTTTGTCACTCCATTATTAACGTATATCTTAAGATTTGCTTTCTGCAATTGTCTCAATTCACTTTTGCAGGTTCTGTTTGCTTTTGCCTGAATAATTCTTCATAACCATTGTAAGATTCTCTTGAGATTAATCCCTAAGCCTATGTTTAGTTGATGAGCATCTTTCAGCGACTGGAAATAGAAAAAGGTGGTTGGAATGCTTAAGTTAATGGCTATGAAATTTTATTTCATTTCTTTTGCTTCAATCCAAAGTATGCCTAACAAATTGGGCAAATTATTGTGTTCGGTGTCTGGATTAGTTCGGGCACCAATAAAAACGCTCCATGTCACTCAAAAATACCGGGGACCAGTGCATCCGGGTGAGATGATGTGTCCGGATTGGATGTCCGCATGTCAGATGACCGGAAGCAATAATTTGCCAAGAAATTGGCTGATGAATAGGCATCCACTAGTTTATTTTGTATTGCTTTATTTGACAAAAAATCTTATTTTATAGCACTATTTATTAAATTGACATATCGAGCTATTAAAATTTTTCGATTGTGAAGATCTAATAATAGAAAAGCCATTTATATCAAGAAAAGTGATCAGACATCAGTCAGTAATAATGGTTCATGATATGCCACTATTTATTGAATTGATATATCAAATTATTCAGAAGTAGCCTATATTTTCAACGGTGAGATTTAGGCTTCGTTTGGGACGGTTTTCTTACTGTTTCTTAAAACAATTTTTTGTACAAAAAATTTAATTTTTGTATTAGAAAGCTGTTTTAGTAATAGTAAGAAAGTCATCCCAAACGAAGTCTTAATTTGTGATAGTTTTTTTATTACTTTGACTTTTTAGATTGCAATTATTGTTATTTTGCCATTTTTTATTGATTTCAAGCAAATTTTGTATTATAAAGTTACTTTCTATAACGACTTTTAAAAAAGTTATTTTTCTATAATGCTTTTATGATAACTCTTATAAATAGCTGTAGCAATCTCAAATTAGCCCTAAAGCTTTGTTTGGGATAGCTTATGTTTTTCTATCTATGCTTTTAGAAGTTCTTTTTTTCAACCGCATTGTTAAATGTTTTTTTTTTTAAATAAAATAATAAAATAAAGTTTTAAAAGGTTGGTGTAAAAATTTTCATTCAAAAATATATATTTTTTCTTGATTTTTTTCTTGACTAAAAAATGTTTCAAAAGCTATCTCAAATGAAGACAAGGCTTCGTTTGGGACGGCTTTTTTACTGCTTCTTAAATCAACTTTTCAGTACAAAAGTTTTAATTTTTATACTAAAAAGTTGCTATACGAAGCAGTATGAAAGCCGTCCCAAACGAAGCTTAAATGTTTGCTAACAAAAAAAACCCTTCTGTATATTTAAATGACTGCCAACATATTATTCAACGGACAACATAAATTTTGTGGATTACTCATTCGCATGAAAAGCTACTAACAAAAGGGTCAAGAACCAATTATCTCATTGATTGATATTATTAGAAGGAGATATTTATTAATTTATAAGATACAAATCTCATAAAACCTAAACATCTAAGTAATATATAACAAAAATTAATGAAAATATATTTAATTAAGAAGAAAGGTTGAAATATTGACAAGTTAATTAATTAAAAATAAAATGATTATATCAACAAATAAAAAAATTTATTGAAAAATATTAAAAGAAACGTTCTTTAGTCAAAATTGGGTTGATATGTTAACCCGAAGATGATCCGTTTAATAAATGGATAATATTGCATAATACGAACACTACCTATTTATTAAACGGGCTAGCCCAACCGAAATTTTTATGATCAGCTTGACGGGTTGTGTCATTTATTAATACCCCACCAATCCCATTTTGTGCTATGCTCTAACATTGACATGTTTAATGGATTAGATGATTAAAACTGAATCAAATTTTAAAAATTAATTAATTATTTGATACCCCAATTTGACTAGTATAATTTAAATGGAAAGGTCATTTTAAATCATATGTGATTACCATATATTATTAGATCATTCAATGCCTGATGAATATGTATGTGCTTCCCTTCAAGCTAGTTTTTGGGCTTGATAATGGCGCAAGTGGTGGCCAAAGGAATAGCTTATGTATTGAGGATGAAATAGGTTTAACAATTAAATTATAATTAAGATAACAATGATGATATAAATCTTGGCCATCTCTCTCTTTTTAGTTTCTTCTTTAACAATTCTTTCTATTTTTTTATGCATTGAAAGAATTATAAAATATTTCAATAAAGATTGTTGCTAGATTGATAATATAATCATTTGATGTGAACTCGCTTAATATTGTGGCTTGATGCATTAATAGTAATTAACATAGCATAGACAAATAGAAGATGAAGCGGAATAGAAGAAATTTAGAAGAAAAAAGAAGAGCTAAATTGAACAACAACTTGCTTACTATTTGATATTGACTGGAGACCGACTGACCTGTACAAGATGGTGAAGAGACGAATTTTCCTTCAAATATTATGATTTGGTGTTATCCCTTACTAATTTATGTGATTCATTGATTGAGAGTTATAAGGAGTTAATTACTATGTTGACGGGTAAAGAATGACGGCTCTGTTTATTGAGCCAACGATCATTGACTTACTAACTATTGAAAAAACACATATAAAGCTAAGACTACTTTTTTAGTGTGATTACTGGAATGCGCGTAACTTCAATATTGTCACTGTACTGTTTTACTATTCCACTGATTATTGTTATTGTACTTATTTACTGTTTTTATTGTACTAATTTACTATTACTATGCTCATGATTTCTATATTGAGCATGTGAGATAATTTACTAATTTGATGCTGTTATAGAATAGTTGAATATTATATGTATATTCTTATATGATTTTACTGCATTGTTATGACTCCCACTATCTTTATAGATGTTTTAGTTTTAATGATTATATGATTTTATTGTTGATTTAATAATACTACTACGACATATGATTTAAGAAAGATTATCTACGACTTTATTGATTCGACATCCATCTAGTTTACATATTTCACTATTTATGTATTGTACTATTTTACTAGCCTATGTCTTCTATTTTATAGATTTTACTATTATTGCATATGATTTATTATTTATACATAAATTTATGATCATATTAACAATTATTATTATGAACTGACTGAAGACATGCATACTGCTTCTTTATTGTGTTTTGAGTTCAGTTGTAGGATTTAGTAATCTGTTAGACTTTTTAGCTCATTATATATGGTTAAATAATTTTAGGTCGGGAAAGAGGATCGGGAGTGTGAGATTGTTCAGTTACATGATTACTTAAGTTTTACTATTGTTTGTTTTTTTTTTTATCTTTAGATATTCTTTTGTACTCAGGAGTAGAAAGAGGGGTATTGTATTTCTATGACTCATAGGTATTATATATAATTTTGGAGTATGAATACAGATGTTTATTGATGTTTTGATCAATAGTTTTGTTTATGTTATATTTATACTATCGAAAAAAAAATAGATATCTATGTTGTTGTTATTATAAAAGATAAAATAAAGAATTCTTTCAAATTAAATTTTGGAGTGTGATACAACATCTAGGTGTTCTTCTAATTAACACTATTAGGCTAGCCCCATATAGCATGATTCAAGCCAATCTAGTAAATCTAAGTTTAACCTAATTTGTCTATTCATCAAACCAAATCAAGTTGAAATTCGCACCCATATTAGTCTCTAGCTTGGAATTCTTATCATTTGGCATGTGTACATTCTCATTATGTGATTGGATCACACTAAATCATTTGGGTTTATTATGTATCATAATGGATCATATTTTTTAGGTATTCATTATGTTTAGGCAATTAACATTCACCTGAGTATTTTTCTTCATCTAAACAGTTCCCCTTATATTTTGGATAGGACAAAAATATTTAAATAGTTTAGACATGTCCCATATATCGACATTTTTCATATCTTTATTTAGGCAAGTAATTAAAATATATTCAGATAATCCCTTCTTAATATAGTCCAAATGCTTATTTCTAGTGCTTTAGGGTAATGATGTGTAATACTTCATTTTGCTTGCCTCATTAGAATTATCTATGTTGAAATTTAAATTATGATTTATAATTTTTCTCTCCTTGCCATATATAAAAGGCCTCCTATTGGGCTTGATCCAAAACCAATACATAGATTATCCTTGCCCAACAAAATAATGGCTAGTTGAAGCTTTTCTATTATTTTAATAGAATAAGACTTCCTAGTCATCCTTAAACTTTTTTCTTAGCTTTCTTATCTTTATACATTCATTGGATAACTCAAGAGTTTTCAATGGGATCACTCATAATCATTCTATATAGAACACTCTTATACCCTGACCAACTTCATTCCTTGAATTCTAATAATTCTTATGCGGCTGCATTTTGTATGGAGTAACAAATAAACTCATATTGTTCTAATGCATTTATAATTATCAAATTTCAATTTGATTAATAAATCATCATGTGGCTGCATTTTGTATGGAGTAACAACTAAAAAAGAAAAAAAAAAATCCCTATAACATTGTAATGTTTTTTTACCAAGAATCTATATCACTCTTAAGAGTCAAATTATCATCTAATCACTTGGTCAATTTATATTTTTTTATCAAACATTTAATCACCTACCATGTGCCTTCATTACTATTAGGATTTAATCTCTTATGATTTGGATGTCCTTAAAAACCTTAAAGCTATGTTAAGTGATGCTTATAACTATCTCCTTTTAAGTCTTCTCAAAGGGCTCTTTTTACACTAGTTAGAGAGATGAACTAAAGCATTATGATTATGTAGCATGGCAGAGTGAGAGTTTAGAGATCAAGAGATTGTAGCCCTTACCTTTCCAAGATATGAATCTTTCCCCTATTTTGTTTCTAAATCACTTAAAAACTTTATATGTTTGTTCATTTTCCCCTCTCTCTCTCTCCTTTCATATGCTTCTCTTATAATTCTCTTAATGTTTGGATTCTTTGATTCCATGAAGAATTAAATCAACTCAAGTGTTCATATCTCTTTTAGTCTTTCATAAATGTAGTAGCCAAAACGTGGGTCGCATCTTATATATAACCACTCTTTCTCGTTCACTCTTGAAAAAGTTTGAAGAACATGAATCTATAAGAAGCATTGTTTGTTCTACTTAGGTCACATGAAAAATAGTTTGTTCTCTTGCATGTGCACATTGGGATCAATGGTGAATGAATATAGATGATAAGAGTACTGAATTTA